CAATATATTGATCATTCCCTGCAATAATTTGTCATCTGGTGATTGAGACTTGGAAAATGCCAGGCCCGCAGAAGGAAGATGACAAGAGCCCAGGCTGTCGGAATATTTTTGCTTTAAGGGGGTGGGAGTTTTGAAAAGCCCTGGTACAGCGCGTGTCTCTTCCCCTACTGCTAGGCATGAAGGGGAGGGGATCATCATGCCAGATCCTGGGAGCTGATGGGGGCCCCTGGGACTTTGTGTCTGGCTGCTGGACGATTCCCTCGCCTCCCCAGCCCTGGAGCCAGCTGACTGACAGGCACTGAATTGGTATCTTAGGATAGACGCCTGTCAAGTGGTCTTCATGTTGTGACAGTAGGCAATTATGATTTATTTAAAAAGGAATTTGCAATAAACTGAAGCTAAAAGGGGGAGGAAGATCAGAGAATTTAGAGTGGAGAAAACCACTTGGAAGAATTTGGCTGATGGGCTTTTAACTAGAAGACAGAGGAGAGAAAATTTCAAGGGTAGAAACACACACATCCATAGAGGACCCAGAGACCCAGGCCACCTGTCTCCCACTTGACAAAAGTAAGCAATTCATGTTTTCTCTAAATCTCTCCTAACAGAACTTTACTTCCTCCAGGAAGCCCTCCAGATTTTTCAGCGGGACAGGATACTAGGTTTCTGAGCGTTCTCTTTCATCTCCCCTGTCCAAAGAACATGCCATTTCACCATCATCTGTGCAATAATTGTGTGACTATGTGATGGCTCCCACACGACTCGACTCGAGCAGGGAAACATGTATGTGCATATATTCACACACACAAACATGGGAGAGCTTATGTTCAGAAGCCTTAGGATAGAGCAGAGTTGAATCACCTCCACTTCAGCCCAGTGCATACCCACCCAAGGTCGGTCTCTGCTGCGTTCGGCACCATTGCTCCCAACACTTCTTCATCCAGCAGATGAGTCCTTGCTTTCCCGCACCCCAACCTCCCTACCGTCCCATTCACAAACCGCTCGGAAACAATTTCAATGTTGCATGGGGAGTGTAACACTTGAACCCAGATGTTTGACATGACAGTAAGTGGGGCATGATTTTCCTTTAGAAATTGTGCTTAGGCCAGGCGGTGATTGCACATGTGTTTAATCCCAGCTCCCAGGAGGCAGAGGCAGGCAGATCTCTGTGAGCTCAAGGCTAACCTGATCTACAGAGCGAGTTCCAGAACAGTCAAGGCTATTACACAAAGAAACTTTGTCTCAAGAAAGAAAGGAAGGAAGGAAGGAAGAAGGTAAAGGAAGGAAGGAAAGGAAGAAAGAAAGAAAGAAAGAAAGAAAGAAAGAAAGAAAGAAAGAAAGAAAGAAAGAAAGAAAGAGAAAGAAGAAGGTAAAGGAAGGAAGGAAAGAAGAAGGAATTGTTAGAAGGTTAGAAGGGCTGGGATGTAGGTCAGCTGGTAGAATATGTGTTTAGGGATGCATGAAGCCTTGGGTTCAGTCCTCAGCAGCATTTAAAAAGATGGGTATGGCTGCAAATAACTACAAGTCCTGTGTTTGGGAAGTAGAGGGTCAAGGATCAGGAGTTCAAAGTTCTCCTGGCCTGTGTGAGACCCTGGCTCCAAAACAAACAAACAAAGAAGCAAATAAAAGGAACCAGAAATTGGAGAGTCAAAATTATTCTGTCCCCTTAGTGCAAAACCAGACAAGAAAAACTTTTGAGGGTAGCAGTAATGTCATCCAAGAGGCCTGACTTAGACCTGGCCCCGTTCTTTCAAAGCAGTGAGCTGCTGACAAGACCATGTTTCTTCCTCTGTGAGGCGAGGATCATCATCACCTCAAGGACTGGATGGGTTGAAGGACATATTGATGAAACTGGAATCCTACTTCATGGGAAGCCCCCAGTGAAGAGAGAGAGAGGAGCCCTCAGTTTGCACAGAGTACCAAAGTTCCCCGCTGAGTCTCACTCCTTGTCTCTCTGTGGATGCTTTCTTCCCCTTCCCTGGTCCTCAGTTTCTCTGGCAACCACTTAGAAAGGGTGATGACTTATGCCGTCCATCTCCAGATATGTTTGTGTGAATATGTTTTGTTCTCTATTTATCCAGGCCTGAGAAATACAAAGCATTAAGAACCGGAATATTTTAACATAGATGCAGGTGGTCAAAGTTTAAATCTTCATTTGCTCCTTCCGGGCAAGGTGACTGAGCAAATTAGCCTTTCTTTGCCATAGTGATGTATCTGTAGGCACAGAAATAATACCTGCAGAATCTTAAGGAACCCAGAGCCCTGCAGTTGAGTCCTAGTCAGCATGAAAAATTGCCTAGAAGGGTTCCCCTTGTAACCAAGCTTGTAGACAAATAATATACAGCTACTTTTTCCCAAAAATATCTTTCTTCATCTTCTAACCTTCTGGCCAACTCCCCAGTTTCCCTGTGCCCCTTTTCAGGAAGATAGTTATAGAAGGTAATCTCAGGACAAATCCAGAATTCTCTTCATTCGGAGCATAAAAGGTCCTTCGGGCTGTGTAAGTGAACCAGAAAGTAAGTTTCAAGTTGGGGAGGTGGCTAAACAGGAAGAGCGCTGGCTTGAATTCAATCTGATGAACATATGTAAGAAAAACACAGGCACTGGACAACAAGATGGCTGGTGTGTGTGTGTGTGTGTGTGTGTGTGTGTGTGTGTGTGTGTAATGTTGTGCTGCATTGTCCTGGCTACCTGAGTTTGAGAACCAACTCCAAAGTTGTCCCCCACATGCACACCATGGCACACTAGTGATATCCAAACTCTCACACACACACACACACACACACACACACACACACACACACACACTGTCATACTTAAAGCAACCCTGGGAAGATGAAGTGGAATGGAATACACACTGTTAAGCAGTCAACCCAACTTCTGACAAGAAAAACGTTCTTGACAACACAGGAGCCAGGGGTGTCCCTACCTCTGTGAGCCCAATAGTCCTGCTCTGCCACTAGACAGCTCCTTTCACGGCCTCCATCTAGCCATTTCGCTCTGAAAGGAAATCTTCATAGAAACGGAGGTGAACAGGGAGGAACTGGCAATGCGGGCTCGGCTCCCGAGAAGTCCCACAACCTCTGGTCTGTTAACTAGAAGGCCAGGAGCCAGTGGCGTGGTGGGGTCAGGGACTGGGAGCCTAGAAACCAGCATAGTCAATAGGGTAAGTCTCTGGGCAAGCCCAAAGGCCCAAGAACCAGGAGTGTTGCTGACTGGGAACAGGAAAAGACAGATGTCCATGATCAAGCAGATGGCAAGGCTTTCTCTTCTCTGACAAGTTCTCAGTGGGTTGAAGGGTATCTACCATGTTGAGGAAAATCATCTTGCTCTTTACTTCATCCACCAATCCACGTACTAATCTCTTCCAGAACCTTCCTCACAGACACACCCAGAATATTTCAACTATCTGGGTATCTCTAAGCTCAGTCAAGCTGACACATAAAGCCAGCATTTCTGAGTTTCATCCAGGTCATAGGTCACACCCCCGTCCTGTGCCTGGAAGGTCCACTCTCACTTCCTCCTCAGCGAGGTGCAGACTCCCCCTCAGCTCTTGCTGTGCTCTGGGAAGGGAAGTGTGCCTGGCCCAGGAACACACTCTGGGATTCTGAAAATATCTTTCTAATAACACCCCCACCTCCCCACCCCTCACACCCTCACACCAGTCACTTCTCCCACCTCACAGAAGCCCTCCCTCCGCTGCAGCCCTTTGGCAAACACCCTACTTGGGAGATGCTTTGGGGACTGTGGCTGGTGACTCAGAGGATGAGTTTATCCCAGCTCTGAGGACCATTGGCCGCCTGACCACAGGAAGAACCTGAGGAAAGAAAACCTATGTGTTCCCACAGGAGAGCCTCTGAGGGAGGCAAGAAATGCCAAGTGGATTTGTTTCTTTCCTCATTGCTGTGATAAAAATGTGCGACAAGAAGCAATTTAAGGAAAGAAGAGTTTATTGGTCACCACTGAGAGGCTATTGTCATCCTCCCTGCAGAGAAAGCAGAGGGGCCCCGAGCTAGAGGCATCTGTCTGCAATCAGGAAGCAGAGAGTCATCCTCCCTGCACCCCTCACCTCACCAGTCCTGTCTTGCTTGCTCCCCACCATGGTGATTGACCATGCCTGTCAATTCACTGGAAGGTTGTAATGGATACTCTCCCCACCACCATGCCAGGGAGGCAAAAGCTGCCTGCCACACCCAGATCTGCCACAGTATGCAGGATGCAGGCAGGCCCTCTGGGCCAAGCAGGCCCCTGAACCCTCCCACTGCCCATGCCCCTCTGTGATTTCACCATTCCTACCCACATCTGTTCCCAGTCCCACTGACAGAATCAACTTTCAATAGCTATATGTATTTTTGTTGTTGTTGCTGTTGGTTGGTTGGTTTGGTTTTGGGTGTTTTTATTTTGTTTTTTCTCTCTTGGAGAAGACTTATCTGATTTTCGATTATAATGGCCTGGGATCATTTTGAAACAAACAAAAACAACAATGACAAAGAAGCAGAGAGAGACAAGTGACGAAGGTCTGTGCTCACCTCACTTTCTTTTTAATCAGCCTTGGACTCCAGCCCTTGGAATGGTGCAGCCAATGGTTAGGGCGGCTCTCTCCACTGCAATTAGCCTAACCTAGAAAGTCCCTCACATGTGTGCTCAGAGACCAGTTCCCGTGATGATTCTACAGCCTGTCAGATCAGCAGTCCAGATCAGCCATCTTCACCAAAGGTTGTAGAGATCATGGGCCCGCCTTGTCAGTCGGCAGCTGGAGATCAGTCATCCATGAATCTGGCACACTAAAAACACGCACCTGGGCTAAACACATACCTCCTATTATTCTTGCTATTATTTCCTAAACAATATAGGATAACAGCTTCCAGCATCACATTTATATTGTATTAGTTATGGTACCTCACCTGGAGATGCTCTAAACTTCAGCTTTCTAAAGTGTGGGAGAGTGCGCTCAGGCCATCTGCAAGCATGTGCCACTGGATGTTTGAAACTAGAGCATCAAAGGGTTTGGGTACTCAGGTCTGGACCAATTTCCCCACTGCTATCAAAACAAAACAAAACAACAAAAATAACAACAACAAGCCCCACCATAACCAAAAGTAACTTGAAGAGGAAAACATTTATTTCGTCTTACACTTCCAGGAAATGGTCCATTGACAGGGAAGTTTCAGCAGGAACTTGGAGGGAGGAAGAGAAGCAGAGCCATAAAGGAGTTCCCTTTGCTGACTTGCTCTCCATGGCTTGCTCAGCCACTAGCCTGGGGTGGCATGATTCTGGGGTGAACTGGGCCCTTTCAGATCAGTCTTCCATCAAGCAAATGCACCGCAGGCTTGTCCACAGGCAGTTTAGCGGGAACATTTTTTCAGTTGAGGTTCCCTTTTTCCAAATGACTCTAGGCTTGTGTCAAGTTGCCATGGAGTGAGCCAGCACATCATGGATGCCAAAGGGAAGATGTACCATAAGGAAAGCAGGCCCTCTGAGACAAAGTAGAGTTGTTTGGTTGGTACTAAGAGGCTTGGTACTCACCGGACTAGAGAGAGCCATTTAAAGCATAATTAAAGTGAAATTATGAGCCCTCCATTTTGTCTGTTCCCTACCTTACTCTGGGTTACAGGCTTCCTGGCCAATGCCTTTTATCCTTTAGCAAACTTTGATCTTATTATCATTATTCTATTTATTTATTTAAAGGGGGGTATATGTGCCATGCCGTTCCTGTTGAGACCCAAAGACAACATGCAGAAGTCGTTTCTCTCCTACTACCACAGCCCACAAGCTTTGATCATAAGAACTTTCATTTCTAGCTGGTGCGATGGCTTGGGGTAAAGGCACCTGAGATCTGGTAGACAAGCCTGTGGTGAATTTTCTTGATTGATGATTGGTGATCAATCCCCAGGACCTGCGCAGTGGAAGAAAATAACAGACTCTGGCAAGTTGTCCCTTCATTCCCACATGTGTGCTGTGGCACACACACACAAGCACACACACAGGCACACACACATGCAGTCACATTCATGACACATAACATGAATACTAATAAATGTAAATAAAAATGTTTAAGACTTTTACTTTTCCATACATAGCCTCAATAATCAAGAATGGACTGTTGGGGAACTTCCAGGAGTCAGACTGCAGACAGGAGAGAAAGTGGGAGAAAGGGGGTGCGCTAGTTTCCCATTACTGAGGTAAACACTTCGGAAGAGCAGTTGAGTGAAGGAAGGTTTGTTTGGACCCATGCTTCAAAGTTTCCTGCGGATGGTAAACGGGTACACAACATGCACTCAGCCCACCTTCTGAGTACGATTCAAGGTCTCTGTTACTGCTCACAATGCTCACAAAGGGACTTAGTGCTGTGTATGAATCTAGCTTTCGGGTTCAGGATACCTGGCAGCCTTCTGTCTAAGCAGTGAGACGGGACCATCAGATTCCCAGTGAGTCCCTAGCAGCCAGAAACAACCTAGATGTCCCCCAACTGAAGAATGGGTAAAAGAAATGTGGTCCATTTACACAATGGAGTACTACTCAGTGATTTAAAAAAAAAAGACATCTTGAAATTTGCATGAAAATGGATCGATTACCTCACTCAGAGGTAACCTAGAGCCAGATGGACAAACATGGTAAGTACTCACTCCACCCCTGAAGGTTCCCCCACCCTTCAAACGTCACTTCTCCAAGGACCACACTTACACCATAGGAGCCATGGGAACACTCACAACCGTGTGAGGGGAGGGCGTGTTTGAAATGTGTGTTACCTTTATATGGAGAATCTATAGATCTGCGTGGGGCCAGCAGCTGAAAATGGCTTGTATAATGTGTGCATACAGCACTAATTCTGAAACCTAGTTCTATTGAGCAAGAAAGATAAGGACAATATAGCACATAAAAACATCAATGAGACCAGGTCAGAAACATCAGTGGACTGATTCGAACCTGGAATTTAGGTCTAGTGAAGAGCAGACCAAGTGGCGCTCACACAACATCGCCTGCTCCAGAGCCGTCCTTTGGCACGCGGGAATCAGTCCTGGCTGGCCTGAAATCCACTGGTATCCCAGGCTGATCTCAAACTTGAGATCATCTAGTACCTAGCCTCTGCCTCCCAAGTGTGAGAATTACGGGCGTGAGCCATCACGCCTGGCCTTGCAACTCATTTGAAAAGATTGGTCTGGATCCAGAACAACACTGTTTGACTAATCAAAACACACACGTGCAGGCAACCTCTTTGCCTCATGGATCAACAACCTCAGGTTCAGATACCAGTGCTGGGGTGGGAGGGGCTGGGAGATCCAAAAGAACAGTCCTAGTCCGCCTCTGATTCACACTAGGGTGTGAAAGGGCATCAAGGAAATGCCGCGAGATTCCTCCTCCTGGTGAAGACTCTGTGCAGTCTATCCCCAGCAAAGCTGTAATTCAGGCTTCCAACAACCTGTGATTTACATCCTGGGTTGGTGTAAAAGATATTGTGCAGAGCCTTCTGAGTGTGTTCTGTGTGTTTGTATAAATCTCGCTACTCAAAATATCTCCCACAGTTGACTGACAGCCCATGTAATTTAGCAGAAGGCTAAAAATTAAAATCCTCAAGCCTGCTGAGGGAGTGTAAGAATCCAGTAACACCGAGCGCCGCCCCCTCGCCCAGGCCCAAGCTCGGCAGATGCCAGGGCTGTTCATTTTGGAGACGGAACAAAATATTTGTATTTAGATTTATTAAAGTCATTATTCCGCCATTTGTTCCAATGTGCTTTATTAAAACCGGATCTCGTGTCTGTTTTGAAAGTATTACCTGATTTACATAAGCCAGTCCCAGCCCTAATTACGGCTTCCTTTGGTGTCTTTTCATTCCGGGGAGGCTCGCGCTCCCCCGCCCGGTTTTTTTTTTTTTAATTTTTTTTTTTTTTTTGTCGCCTGCCTTCATGGCCCATATGTCTGCCTTGAGATAGCAAGAATCCGAGCCTATAAATAGATGCTTCAGAACAGTCCCGCTGCCAGTTATCTGTCCACACATCAACATTACCATAATTGCAACAGGCAACGTGTAATCTCCCTAATCACACGTTCCAGTCGGAAAACTGGATCGGGTTTCATAAATTGTATAATTTGAGGCTTTCCTAAGCTAACCGCTGGGCAGGCAGGCTGCTGTGGGTCATCCAGGACTTGGCAGTGCCCCCCTCCCCCGCCTCAGTCTGGCCAAGCTGCCCAGAGTGTCACGGTGACACGCACCTGAGAGGAAAAAATAGTGCCGCACTCTCCCTCTGCGTCATGACCACTCTGCTCCCAGCAGGCAGTTCGCACGTTATTCCTTTTTATCCCTCTGGGGGAAATACCGTAAGTGTTCTCAGGATCCAGATGAAGACATCAAGAGAGGTGAGATGTTGCACAGAAAGTCGCCGAGACTCAAACACAGATCCCAGAAGCTGCCTGCCATGCCCTGAGCCCCAGATTGGATCTGCAACCTGGCGCCAGGGAGCTTCCAGTGAATCCCTTATTTTCGTCCTTTCAATGGCTTAAATAAATCTCAATCTTACTTCATTCTGAAGGCCAAACCGACCAACACTCCAGCAGCCCAGGGTGCTATCTGGAGTCGCTGAGCTTGCAGAGAAAAGCTAGGGAAGCCCAGTACAGACTCACTCCAAGGCCCCTTCAGCCAGGGTCTTCTCTCCTGGGGTCCCTCTCCTCCTTTGTTTTCTTTGCCAGGCTCTCAGAAGAATGCTAATTGGGCCAAGGCAGCAGGCAGAGCTAGGAGGCGGGCCAGCCTTCTGCCAGGCTCCCCAGACCACAGTTCAGCTTTCCTGGGGTTTGGTGGGGACTTCAGGAAATTACCTCTGGGCTTTCTACCTTGCCTGGGGAGCTTCTGGGGGTGGGGGTGGGGCTCCTTTTGTTTTGCGTTACAAGAAGCCTCTGGTGATGCTATTCATACTGGAGGTCCCTGGAGTGACTGATGACACCCTGACATATAGACTGGTCCCCAAGGATTCTCTGGTCCCCAGTGTGCTCTCTGGCACTGTTCTCTCCAGCCGTGCCTAGTAATTGGCCAGCCTTGCAAAGTTCCAGATGTCTATTAAATGCTTTAAATTGAACACTAATCAGATGATGGTGTGGTTACCAACAAGGTCCCCCAGGCCTCGCTCAGAAGGAACCATCTAATCTGTAGCCCTCAGTGTTTCCAGCTTGAGGAAACTGACAGTCAGGAAGGGGACGGGAGTGTCATGGTCTTAACCAATGCTAGGTTCTCTTCTGTGGTTTATTGATCTGCTTGTGTGCACACACGCATGTGATGGCGATGTGCTGTGTGTGTGTGCGCACTCGTGTACCACTGACAGTGGGATCTAGGATCTCCTGGAAGACACACCTCTGGGCATGTCTGCGAGGGAGGTTCTAGACTGGGTTGAGGTGGAAAGCATTCTAGATGTGGGCAGCACCGTCCCATGGGTTGGTGAGCCAGACTGAATAAAAAGAAGAAAGTAGCCCGAGCACCAGCATACACTGCTCTCTGCTTCCTGACTAGGTGCAAAGAGACCAGCTACCTCAAGCTTCTCCGGCCGTGACTTCCCCATCATGGTGGACTGTACCCCAAAACTGTGTCCGAATAAATCCTTCCACCTTAAGCTGTTTTTTTAAAATATTTATTTATTTGTTTATTTATTATGTATACAATATTCTGTCTGTGTGTATGCCTGCAGGCCAGAAGAGGACACCAGACCCCATTACAGATGGTTGTGAGTCACCATGTGGTTGCTAGGAATTGAACTCAGGACCTTTGGAAGAGCAGGCAATGCTCTTAACCTCTGAGCCATCTCTCCAGCCCCACCTTAAGCTGTTTTTGCCAGGTCTTCTTGTTTTTCTTTTCTTTTTTCTTTCTTTCTTTTTATTTTTGGCAGCAAAGAGAAAAGTACCAATACATGCTCCTTCCTCTCCCCCAGGAGCCTCTTGGTGTGATGGACGCTGTGCTCTCTGTCAGCCTTCTAGACGAGAGGTTGAAGAGCAGGACTTCTCGTCTCAGGCCTGTCCCCAGAGCATCACAAAGTAACTGTCCTGGCTGCTTTTTGTGGGTTTTGTTGTTGTTGCTGGTTGGTGCGTGTGTGTGTGGGGGGGGGTATTTTGTTATTTTGGTGGTGGTGGTATCAACTTGATACAACTCAGAACCATCAAGAAAAAGGAACAACAATTAAAAATATGCCCCCATAAGATTGACTTGTGGGCAAGGCTGCCGGGCATTTTCTTAATTAGTTATTATTTGGTAGAACCAAGCCCATTGTGGGTGGTGTCATCCCTGGGCTATATAAGAAAGCAGGCTGAGGAAGCCATGGAGAACAAACCAGTAGGCTGTGTGTCTGCTTCTATTCCTGCCCTGACATCTTTTGATGAGAGACTCTGATGTGTAACTAACTACAAGCTAAATTAAACTCTTTCCTCCCCAAGTTACTTTTGGTCATGGTGTTTTACCACAGCAATAGAAACCAAAGTAAGACAGTGACCTCAGGCCTTGCTGGGTGGATCATCATCCTCAAAGCATGGCTTTGTCTACAGAGATGGAGACACGGCTGCCCATCACCTATACTTGGACTCTCGGCACCAAAGACAGTCCCAGAAGTTTCCAGACCTAAGGAGGGGACCTTCCAGCTGACCACCGCCCAGGGCATCCCCTATGAGAAAACTGGACCAAAACCATTTATATTACAGTCAGATGGCCAAGGGGTTGCCTCAGCAGCACCTGGAAACTGGCTTGAAGTGCACCCCCCTGGGCTCTACCCATGACCTGCTGAATCACAGCTCAGGGAGGGGTGGGATGTCTGAATTCCAGCGTTTGGAGTCACCTGGGTTTCAGAATGGCAGCCAGATCGGCCTTAGGCCTGGAGGGCCTTCCTGGATGATGCTTCCCGGAGGCTTCTGACCATAGTATGAGCACACGGACCAGCACACAGCATGCTGGGGGCAAAGAAAAAAATTTCCTACGTGCTCCCAGCAGCGCAGCCTACCTGCAGGTTCCTCATGGGGGCTCCTGGCTCCATCCAGACGTGAGTCAGCCTTGCTTTTAAGCTTTGAAGCTCCAGGCCTAACCTGTTCCCAATGCCGGGAATGCGGCTCCACAGCCACTTCACCCTGAGGGCTCAGCACGGGCCTCTCACAGCAGCCCTGACCATCTGAACTTCTCCAGGAAGCTTTCCCTTATGCCCTCTTTTGGCTTCCAGCACACCTGCTTAGAATCTATCGCTGTTGCCCGGTACTCAGTTGGCTGTACACAGTACTCCCCTGCCAGATCTGAGCCCTGACAGCACCCACAGCTCTCATGGCTCCCCTAAGGCCTTACCACAGTAGGGTTTTGTTTTTGTTTTTGCTCGCTCTCTGTCTCTCTCTCTCTGTCTCTCTCTCCCTGTCTCTCTCTCTCTCTCTCTCTCTGTGTGTGTGTGTGTGTGTGTGTGTGTGTGTGTGTGTGTGTGCGTGTGTGTGCTCTAACCCACTCACTCATGGATCATCAGGGACTCAGGAACAGGGGACTATGACAGACTGTGAGGAAGCTACATCATCAATTCAATCAGGAAGGGTTCCTGCTTGCTCCTTCACCTTTTTCTCTGAGGTTCTAGAAGGCTAGCCTCAGGCTGATCTCTCAAGCCAGGCCGAGAAGATCTGATTTACCCATCCTCCACCCCCTTGTTTCCCTTGACACACCCACCCAGGCACAGCCTCTCGCGACTGTCCTATCAGCACAGCACACATCAGGCCTGCCTGTGAGCGTTGGCCACACTCAGCCCACCTAGTTCAGCTAGACAGTTAGCGAGAGTGATCCAGATCATGGATGGTTGTCCAGGGCTGGTCAGCCAGTTCTATGGACAAGGGCAGGGACCCTCCAGCCCTGTGAGGGCCCTGGGAGCCTGCCTCCCACAGCTAGCCTCTGATGGGCACTACACGAGGAACACTGTCTAGCACTATGACTTAGGAACCAGGACCTGTGTGCTCAGAGTCCCACTCCTCTACCCCACAAGCTTAGGCTCACATCCCTGGAGCCCCAAGATTTCAGAGGCCTCCCTGGTCATGTGGGAACCAGACCTTTCCTACTTAAACACAGCATCAGTGGGCCAGATGACCTACTCTACATCCAAAATACACATTTTAAACCAGGGTTCCACTGCCTTTCCCCATCCCTTCTCCCTTGGGTGACACTCACTTATTTGCTGCCCCAGCCTTAGGGGTCTCGTCCCTGCTCTCACCTCTACCAGTGACCCTGTTCCCCTTGAGCCCGACACATACAGCTGAAACTTGGCAGGGACGGGGACCGGGAAGGATTACATTTATGTAATGATGTGTCATAGGAAAATTAAAAGATAATGAAAATCAGAAGTCCTGTGAGACTTTGATCCCTTTCCTGGCCTGTCTAATAAAAGCCTTGGGTTCTTCACGGCTGCATCAATGACACTGGAGATTGTTCCAGACCCACAAAGGCTTGTCCTCCGTTTACAGCTAGACAGGGATCTAGGCTACCCTTTCCCTGAGCCTGGTGTATGTGTGGCGGTGGTGGTGGTGGAGAGGGGCGGTATTTAAGTGGGTTTGATGCAGGCTTTCTTCTTTAACCCCAGATCTGTAGCTTGTGCGGTGAACTGTTTCCAAGGGCTCCCTGGGCGTTAACTGGGTATGGAGTATTCTTCCTAATGATGGAGCTTGTCTAGGACTGATGAACAAGGGCCGGGCTCCTCCTCCTGTGGGGCTCTGGGAGCCTGCCTCTCACAGCCAGCCTCTGACAGGCCTCACACAAGGAAACTGTCTTGGCCCCATGACCTAGGAAGCAAGCCTTGTGACTTCCATGTCCCACTCACAAGCCCACAAGCTCATGATCCACTCTTTGGAGCCCCGGATCTCAGAGGACTCCTCAGTCAGGTGCAGATGGTCTCACCTGCCTGAACACTGATGACCCAAATTAAAGAATTACAAACCAGGAGTCTCAGTCCAAATTCTCGGCAGATTCTTACACATTTAGGTCCCTGCTTTGACTGGCCAATGTGGACAGCGGCTATCAGTGAGTCTGTGTGTCTAAAGGACTGGTTTCCCCTGTCTGCCCAGGACTCAGGAGAGCACCCTCAATAGAGAGTTTGGAAAACACACTATGATAGAAGGTTCTAGAAGATATGGCACACTGTATAAATTGGGAGGCTCAGAGACAGATAAATGGATGTGTTTCACCAGCAACAGAGCAGAGCCCAGAGTGGTGTCTTGTTACATCTCTGAGGCAGACTCGGGCATCCTGGAATGCGGACAGGGTGAGCAGTGGGATTCCTTGTTGCTACTTGCCTCTGCTGAGTTGGCCCAGAGGGTTTGCAGCTTCTCCAGTTGCACAATACGAGGGCAGGTGGGCCTGAGCTTCTGGGCCCACAGTCTTCCTTTGCCCACAGCCTGTGGCTAGGCAAGTGCGGTTCCCCCTGGAGGACTCATAGCAAGGGCCGACTGAAGTGGGTAGGGTGGAGGAATGGCTGGGGTGCAAGGTGGGGCCATACTACTTTGTTTTCCTGAGGGATGCAGGCAAAGGTGTGGAGCAGGTGCCTCGACTTATGTGCATAGTATGTGCCTGCCAGTGTGCTAAGAGTTTTCCTATACTCCCTCGCTTTGACCCCACATAACAGAGAAGAAAGGCAAGGGTTGGGGAGATGATGGCGCTGTTTACTCAAGGTTAGAACCCCTGCTTGATTTTTTGTAAGTCCAGGCCTCAACTCCCCCAAATCAGGGACTGAGCACACCTCTACTCAGTAAAATGAGGGGCTGCCAAACCTACCCTGGCCAGTTCAAAGAGCCTGGCTAATTCCAGGGCATCCTGAAGCCCTGGGACCTGGCTGGGATCACCCTCCTGCCTTCCATCCCTCAGCAATGACTGCATCCAGCTGGACGGGTGAGTCAGTGCCCTCATTCTCATGTATCTGGGAGGGTAGGCCTCTCCCTGCTGTCGGTTTGGCTCCATCAGCTGGTATGGGGGTGCCCTGGCAGTCAGGTTGCCATCAGCCAGGCCCTGGAGCTTGGCAGCCTTGCTATACTACATCACAGGGTTCGCCCTTTCCCTTAACCCACCAGCCTCGCCCCTGGGATCAGAGAACCACTTCTAGATGCCTCTAGACACTTCCACCATGCCCTGGATCAGGCTGAGGTGACTTCTGGTACATGGCTCCCAGAATCCCCGGCCTGGCCTCAGCAGAAGCCTGCTTCCCAGAGCACACAGCCAGGCACAGAACCTGCTTCCCAGAGCACACAGCCAGGCTCAAAGGCCAGACTGCTGGTTCAGAGCCAGTCAGAAGCATATGAGGAGAAGGAATCGGGCCCAACCGCCCAGCAGAGAGGGAAGTGGATCTTGGCTGGACCTTCAGGTGGGATGTGTGGGAGGGTAATCTCCAATTGGACTGTGCAGGTAGGCGCAAGACCATCTGCTGAGTGCCAAAGCAAACATCACACCACATGCAAGGGTGGCCTTCACCTTAGGGGGAGGAGAGGGAGCATCAGCCCGTGTTCCGGCAAGGTGGCAAACTTTCAGGTCCCGTTTCTCATCTACAAGATGGGTTTAATAAAGCCAGGCTTGTTCTGTCCAGTCCCTGCAGCCATTTCCACAGAGGGCCTGGCCAAAGGCCTGGATGCCGGCATGCTGCCAATACAGACATTTCTTTACACCCCCTGTGTTGCTCAACAAGACCTGCGCCATCTTCTCTTGGTCCCTTTCCATGTTCATCGTCTTTGGATGAGGAAGAACCTAGGGGCATTTTGCACAAGGCGTGCCTTTCCCTGAAGTGAGGTACCTCACAAGAGACAGAGCAAGCTTTGTACCCTCCTATAGACCCGTCCCTCTGCACACTGGATCCCATGAAGAGCCTGAGGTCCCAAGCGGGAACTATGGTATTGTTGGCATCACTCTTACGACTTTAGTAATTTGCTCCAGAAATCAAATATGTATTAGCTGCTAAGGGTGGCACTTGGGGACATAGTCCCTACCCAAAAGGGTTCATGGGGAAAAGAGAAAGAGATAAGCTAATGATCTCTAGCTCAGACGGATACCAACAAGCTGGTGTGGGGCATATTTCAACCGTGGAATCTCATTTGTGAGCATTATCAGTGCAACAGACTCTTGGGGTTCAGGAGGATGAGCGGAGGAGTTCAGGAGGAGCGGGGGGCCTGGAGGCCCTAGGTGCTAGCAGGAAGAATTGCCTGGGCTGGCCTGGGCTGACCTGGGTTGGCCTGGAGCGATGCCTCCAGGGAACTCAGGTGTTCTGAACAGCCTAGTAGCACAGGTATGTGAAGCCCCCATGGAGCCCTGGGACATAACCAGCAAGAGACATGCGGGCACCCTGTGACCCGTATCTCTGCCTTCCAGGAAATGGTTGGATGAGGTAAGACTCACCCCTAGCATATTTAAAGAGCACTTTCACCAGCAGATCTCCAACTGTGGGTGTGGCATATGAAGTCTGATGTCACTCTCCTCCTCAGGTGATGCTGTCAGCCCCTCTGTGAATGAAAGATACATACTCGGATTCACACACCATATGCAGAAGGCAAGGACCCTCCCCCCACACAGCCTATCTCCACTGAAGAAGCTCTTCGAAGAATTTCTCCCATAGGTGTCAGCATCTGAAGCATTTGGTTTCCAGGTGGTGGAGCTGTTTGGAAAGGTTTAGGAGGCATGGTCTTGGAGAAAGTGCATCACTGGGGCTGGGATTTGAGGGTTCATATGCTCACCCTACTTTCAGTTCCTGCCTCTCTGCTTTGTGCTTGAGGCTAAAGATGTGGTCTCTCGGCTGCCTGCTCTGGCCAGCTTGCCTGCCACTTGTTGCCATGCTTCCCCATTGTGATGGACTCTAACCCTCTGAAACCATAAGCCAAAATAAACTGTTTTTTCTGTAACTTGTTTTGGGTTCTGGTGTTTATCACAGCAGGAGAAAAGCAACTAATACAAGGCCAAGGTCAACACAGGAAGATATGTTGTTTCTCTCCTTCCACTGTGTGGGTCCTAGGACCAAACTCAGTATCACCGTATCTGCTGAGCCATCTTACAGCCCCAGTGAATCTCCTGTTTTGTTTGTTTTGTTTTGTTTGTTTTGTTTTGTTTTTCAAGGATGGTTTTTCTGAGCATCTCTGGCTGTCCTGGAACTCACTCTGTAGACCAGGCTGGCCTTGAACTCAGAAATCTGCTTGTCTCTGCCTCCTGAGTGCTAGAATTAAAGGTGTACACCACCGCCTGGCTAAAGAACCTCTTGCTATAGCCCAACTCCTATATTTTGCAGATGATGAAACTGAGACACGAATGTGACTTTGGGGCTGGAAAGTTGGCCCAGTGGTTAAGAGTACTGATTGCTCTTCCAGAGGACCTGAGTTAGATTCCCAGCGTCCACAGAGTGGCTCACAACCATCTGTAATTTCAGTTCCAGGGGATCTGATGCCCTCTTCTGCTGGCACCAGGCACACACCTGGTTCTCAAATATATATGCAGCCAGAATACCCATATACATAAACTAAAACTACAATTGAAAAGGAATGTGCCTTTTTACTGGTGATCAATGAGTCATGGAAAATGGGCCTAGACTCCTGCATTCTGCCCAAGGGTTCTCGCATAGACACCTGCTACTGTCACCTGCTAATGTATATCCCTGCCCGGCTGCAGCTCTTGGTGTCCTGCCTCAAGATGGAAGGAGTAGACTGAGCTTCCTGTCCTTTCAACCTCTGCCCATTCCTATCCCATGATTTCTTTCGCCGAAAACCTCCACACGACTCTCCTTACTCACAGCCCTGCTATGACCACACTGGGTGCTTCATCTCTGTGAAAATCTCCAGGCGCTCATTCATCCCCACCACGCACAGGCACAGCCCTGTTCCAGGGGTCCCTCTTCTGACTTTCATGGGAACCAGGCATGCACGTGGTATGTACGTGTACATGCAGGCAAAACATTCATACATCAAACTAAATAAATTAATTTGTAAAAGAAGAATACTTGGGAATACATTTCATCCAAGAGGTGAAAGATCTATACATTGAAAACTATAAGACATTGGTGTTTAAAGTTGAAAAAGATACAAGTAAATGGAGATATTCCATGCTCGTGGATTGGAAGAATTAATATTCTTAAAACATCCACACTACCTAACGCCATCTACAGTTAGCATTGTTCCTCTCAAAGTCCTAAAATTCGTATAGAACCACAAAGATTCCAGTCAAAGCAATCTTGATTACAAAGAGCAAAACGGCTACAGGCATCATACTACCTCAGCTCAAAATATACTGCAAAGCTACAGTAATCAAAACAACAGGGTATGGTCATAGAAACAATTAAAGAGATCAATGTAGCATATGCCCAGAAACAAATCCATGCTTAATAAAATCAATTGTTTTAAGACAGTCTCCTCCATAATCGGTAGTCACACAGAGAAGAATGAAACATAGGTCTTTATCTCATAAGACACACAGCATTCAAGATGGATTATTAAGATGTTCTTGTAGAGAATGAACTTGTAAAATGTAGGGGAAATGCTCCCACAATGCTGGTACCTGCGATGGATTTTAGGATATGAAATAAAGACGCAGACCATAAAAGCAAACATGGGATTGCCTCCAGGTTCTACACAGCAGAGGAGGCAGCCAGTAGTGTGGAGGCGTAGCCCTCAGACTGGAGGCAAATATTTGCAAATTGCACACATGAAAAGGAGTTGACATTCAAGAAACATGGAGCGCTCAAGCAACTCCATTGTAAGAAAACACATAAGCAGTTAAAAATGGCCAAGGGATTGAATGAACACTACTCAAAAGAAGGCAGGCAGATATCCAATGGGTGTATTTAAAAAAACAAAAAACAAACAAACAAACAAAACCTCATGCCAACAATATGTCTCACGGGTAAAGGGCCTGTGGCCAAGCCTGATGACCCGTGTGGCCTGCATCGTGGATGCAAAGAACTGACTCCCGGGAGCTGCCCACTCATCTCCACACACCCAGATAAATAAGTGTAATAAAAAAAAAATGCTCAGTATCACTAAAAACACGAGGAAAGATCTTCCCCCACCTGTTAGTTCGGCTGCTAACAAAAAGATCAAAGCTAACAAGTGCTGGCAGGAGTGTAAAGACGGAGGAATCCTTGCACACCACCAGCGTGAAGGTGGGCTAATGCGGCCATTAGAGGAGCGAGGGTAGGAAAGACTCCAAAATTTAAAACAGTGCTCTGATCTGACGCAGGCCGACCACCTGTGGGTGGGGAACCGGAGGAAACAGAACCTCTGCGCTGAGTATCGCAGCCGTGGCAGAGGTAAGGAGTGAGCCTAGGCCTCCGCCAACAGGCCGACAGGTACAGACAGCTCTGGGTATAAAGCGCAATGGGAGAGGACTGGAGAGCAAACTCAGTGCTTGCTCTGAACCTGCATATCAAAAGCAAGGTGTGGTGCACAGGCTATTGATCCCAGTGCTAAGGAGGCAGAGACAGGCCCATCCTTGGGGCTCACTGGCCCCCTAGCCTAGTTGACGAGCTCCAGGACCGTGAGAAACCTTGTCTCAAAATGAAAGTAGACAAAACCCAAAGAAGAGTATTTGAGGTGTCCTCTGGTTTCCACATGCATGTACACACACGCACATGCACCCCTGCACACATGTCACACAGGGAGGAGGCAAATAAGCACAGGTTTTCCTTCCAGTTGCCAGAAGCTGATGATAACCTACCCATCCATCCTCCTCGGACTCATTGTCATAGCCAGAAAGCATTTTGGTAAAAACGATGTACCGCCTTTCTGGCCTTGAGAATTAACTTCCAGCTCTTGGTATGGTGTACAAAGCTTTCCTGACTATGACCAGTGCCTTCTGCCCAAACTGTCTCATCCTGCCACATGCCCACACCCATTCTTGGCCCCAGCTGGACAAACACGTGGCACTTCCAACAGCCCCTCAACCCGGAGGACTAAGATGTGCTCAGACCAGCTTCCTGCCCTTTAACCTCAAGGTCTGCTGGTGGACTTGTTTTTAAATTCCTTTCTCTCCACAGGAATGTTCTCCAAGGGCCAAGCCACCTTCCCGCCTCTGGACTCTTGGAAACCCTGGAACACAAGGGATTCACTGTAGACGACTCACACAGCAAGCTCCCCACACAAAACAAGCACAGTATTTTAGTCATAGGCACTCCAGGGTCTGAAATTAAAGTCAGGGCAGAAGGGAAATATGGAACCCCCTCCCCTGAAAAGCAATGTGAAGGCTGATGGAACACACTACACACACACACACACACACACACACACACTGGGTGGGGTGGACACAACAAATAACTTAGCCAAGTATCCCAGTCTTCACTGATATGCAAAGTCCCCAACAGCTCAGACACACAAAGTAATAAAAGCCACAGAGATGGTCTGGCTTGTCCCCTCCTTTCTGCCTAGGTAGGTCTAGGTCTTGCTTCATGGCAGAGGTTACACACAGGTGCAGCCCCAAGGGACCTGCATTCCTGACTCTTGTAATTCGATTTTCAGTTTTCTAGAACAGTCCTTTTCTGTGCTGTGTCTGCAATGTGTTGGATCTGATAAAAGATTGCCTCAAAGTTCAAAAGGGATCAAACTTTGTAAGTCATTTCAGAGACCCCGTGGATGCCGGTGAGGCAATATCAGTGGGTGACGACAGAGTAAGGGGAATCCCACAGCTCATCCGTGGGTGGGCTAGCTGCTCAACTCCATCCCTGCTTGCCTTGTCTACAGGGAGGGGATTCTCATAGGCCTGACTTCCACTGGGTGCTTCCTTCAGATGCTGGGGACAGTGAGATGGCTCAGCAGGTGAAGGCGCTTGCAGCCAAGCCTGATGACCTGAGTTCAATCCCTGGGACCCACACAGGGGAAGGAAAGAACTGACTCCTGCAGGTTGTCCTCTGACTTTCCCACACTGTGGTGTGTACATACATACACATGTGCAGGAGTGTGCTCACACTAAACATAGGTAGGTATGTAGGTAGGTAGATAGATAGATAGATAGATAGATAGATAGATAGATAGATAAACATAAAACTTTTTGATTTTAAAGGTTGGCTAAGATGGTAGTTTCTAAAAGAGACAACCATGAGCAAAACAGGTGAATAGTTCATAAGAATGGGCTCTCTGAGCTACGCTGGCAAGTGCAGCTACAGCTAGGGTGGGCAGACAGGAACCTGCTCTGTTGGAGGACCAAGGACACCACATTCCATCTTTACAGCCTGTAAATGTGACCTCATCTGGAGAAAGGGCTGTTCCAGATATAATTAAGAGAAGAGCCTCAAGGCAAGGATGATCCAGGATTATCAGGGTGAAGTGTGAGGCTGAAGTGGCCACACGCATCCAGGCAGGCACAGGGAGATAGCGGAGAAGCAAATGTGTGAAGAGAGATGGAGGGAGATCTGAAGGCGCTGGTGTTGAAGACAGGAGCTAGGAGGCCACGAACCAAAGCTTGCCTGCAGTCACCAGGATGTGGGAGAGGTGAGGAATAGATTGTTCCCTGGAGCCCTGAGAGGAGCTCAGCTTTGTGAAGACACCTTGGTCTCAGCCCAGTGACGCTGACTTTGGTCTTGTGACCTCTAAAACTTAAAGAAGATAGATCTCTGGGGTTGGAAGCCGTCATGCTCATAGTGGCTTGCTATAGCTGTCACGAGAGATCCAGGCAGATCCTGGGGACCAACCCATTTTCATCTGACTTGGACATACCCAAAGACACATAGCATCCTAGAGTCTCGGCCAAGGCCCTGCCCTACTATACTTTCTCCTGGCCATGCTGAGACCCAGAAAGACCAAGATGAGGAAACTCCCAGTTGTCATGGTGACTTACAACTGGTCATCACTGTCCCCAGGCTGGGTGCTTGCCTGTCACCTGACTCCCATGCTAGGTTCTATGGGACAGAGTTGGGGAGTGGGAAATAGTTTATAAAGATCTACCCCAGTGTAAGAAGGAAAAGAAATTGAACCAGGCCAGGGAATTGCAAGGCTAGGCAGATGAATCATCAGCCCACCCAGGCAGGAGCTGTCCATTGAGGTGGCTGGGAGTTTATAGCCTGTCATGGTCTGAATGTGGCTTGTGGTTGACTCTTGGAAAGTCGTGCTTAAAGTGTGTGTGTGTGTGTGTGTGTGTGTGTGTGTGTGTGTGTGTGTGTGTGTGTAGGTCAGAGTACAAGTTTGAGTATCATTCCTTAGGTGCTAATTAACTTCACTGTGAGATTCTCAACTGGCCTGGAACTTGCTTGCCAAATAGGCCAAGCTGGCTTGCCAGTGAACCCCGTAGATCTGCCTATCTCTGCCTCCCTGGTGCTGGGATTACAAGTGTGTGCCACCACACCCTGCATTTTCTATTTGGGTTCTGGGAATCAAACTCATGCCCTCGGGCTCCCAGGGCAAGCCATCTGCACAAGGCCTCCTGCTGAGATGCGGTTGTTGTAGAGGAGGTATTAGAATGTATGCCAATAGCATATGAGTAAGTGACTGAAAGAGATGACTGTCTTCCTCCCTGGACAGGTCCGTTTTCCTGAAACTCAGCTGTTACAACCAAGACAGCGTCTTCAGTTCCATCCCTCCTACAAGTGTCTGCTCACCTTCCCGCTTGTCCACAGTCATGACCCAGTAACATGCGGCTGTCCAGTCTCGAATTTCCAGCTTCCAGAACTATGACTTAAGTAGACATCTTCCTTTCTAATTTCTCCAGTTCCAGGGCGTCTGCTACAGCAACCACTGGTTGGGAGACACCTCCATCTTGCCCTGGAGAGAAATGCAGTCTGCTCTGGAGCGGCAGAAGCAGCCGAGGCAGGAATTCAAGGAGGCAGCAGCTGCTATACATACGGGCGGGGCAGCCTCTTCAAAGGTGGCTCTGGGCAGTGCGTGGAACTCAGGTCACTGTCTACAAACAAGGAGAGAGTCTTCCACTGTAGCCTTCAACTTTTCCTGGATGACTCTGACAGCACCCAATGTCCCTAGACCCTTCATACCCAGAGAGAGAACTTGTTAGAAATACAGAATCTATCACGGGCCCTAGAGTCCATGAAAACACATATAAATTAGACTTACTTATTTATTGGGGGAAGGCATGTCAGGGTGTGACTGTGGAAGTCAGTCTCACCTTCCACTGTGTGGCTCCTAGGGCTTGAACTCAGGCCATTAGGCTTGACAGCAAGCTCTCCTACCTGCTGAGTCATCTGGCTTGCCCTACATTCTGTTTTGAGAAGCAATCACTTGACCAGAGGCCAAGGACAGCACCGATCTGTTTTATTATAGCCCTAGTAAAATGTGAGTCAAGTGTGAAGGCTCAGGCCTTTAATCCCAGCACTCAGGAGGCAGAGACAGGTGAATCTCCGTGAGTTCAAGGCCAGCCTTGTCTACATAGTGAGCTCCAAGACAGCCAGACTGCATAAATAGACCCTATCTCAAAAACATTCTATCAAAATTTAAGATTTAGGGACTAGAGAGATGGTTCAGCGGTTAAGAGCACTGGTTAAGAGCGGAGGACACGGGTTCAATTCCCAGCATCCACAAGGAAGCTTACAACTGTCTGTAACTCCAGTTTCAGGAGAGCTTCTGGCTTCCTTGGACACTGTACATAAGTGGGGTACAGACATACATATATCATACACATAAAAATAATAAAAATAATACTTAAAATATAGAACATTTCAATAATTTGAATTATACTATAAAATCATATTTTTACATATTTTACGGAGAAGACTATGAGATGGAAGAGCTGTCTTTTACACATGTCAACTTGATAGCTCTCTCCCATTATTTTAAGTACAAATAAAAAGCTACCCACCAGAGCTGGGATGTGGCTCAGTTGGTAGAGCGCTTGCCTGGTGCACACAAATTCCTGGGTTCAATCCCCAGCGCTCCAGAAACCCGGTGTGGTAGCACAGGCCTGTAACCCAGTCATACAGGAGGTAGAGAGGCAGGAGGATCAGAAGCTTGGGACCCTTCTCAGCTTCTCAGAAGTTTGAGGCCAGCCTTTGGGTGGGGGTGGGGGGACTCTCAGTCACGCCCCCAGCAGGCAGCTCTGGCTAATCTGTGGAACAGTCCTGAGCCCTGCAGGGACCTCAGGCCTTTCTGACCTCCCTGGCTACAGCCACACCTGCTCCATTGAATGCCCACATGGCCACCTGTTCCCGCTGACTTCCCCCCTCAGCTATGTCTGCTCTAGTGGCCCTTCGTCCCAGATTTCCCTTCTACACGAGGCCTTTAATCTTTGCAGGTTTTTTCCCCCCTTAACATCCCTGACTCTCTTGTGAAATGCAAATTAATTAGCGTCTAATTACTCACTCATCACCGAGTCTGTAGCCTTCTCTGTCAGGTTTCTGTTGAACATCTCTCTCATCAGCTGAGAACACAGCCCATTAGGAACAATGTAGTTTAGGGGAGGCGGGCGGCCCCTCCCCCTGCCTCTCAGGCTTTGTCAGAAACCATCTAAGCGGAAGATTCCAGAAGTACACCCATTCCGACCCCACCTGCCACTCATTCTAATCGCCGGCCTCATTTCAGGGAACTGACTGTAGTTTGTGCCCAGGGCTGTGCTAGGTCAAGGTACGAAAGCCAGCCTCTTGCCTCAGGGAGGCTGCCGCATGAGGAGCCAAGATCTGCCTGTGTGCAACTGTCCATGCCCTGCCAGCCAGTAAGGAAATGTGGGGCATGCCCAGGGACATGGCGTAGTCTTTCAACCCAGACGGCTGAGTTTTACTTTAGGAGGTGACAGCCAACTCGAGCTGGCTGTCAGCCTTTGCCCTCAGTCTTCCTGAAGCCAGCCTGTATAGGGGAGAAAGGGTCACCAACTCTCTGGAAGACCGACAGCTTGGGTCCCCCTGGGAGCTGAAGATGATGGACTCAGCACTGGGAGAATTAGCCCAGTCTGGGCTGTGCTAGGCATGGTTGGCTCAATGTACGAATATGTTTACATGTGTTTGAGTACATGTGAACATGTGTACACACTCCTGTACAGGCCAGAGGTCATTTCTCAGGGAGCGCTCTACCTTGATTTTTTGGGACAAGATCTCTCACTGGCGTTGAGTTTGCAGATTCTGCTAAACTGGCACAGGACCTTGTCCCATCTCCCCGACACTGGGATTACAGACGGACACTACCACGCTTGCCTTTCATGGGTGCTGGGGGCTGAACACAGGTCCTCATACTCTCTCAGGGATCACTTTACTAACCCTGTCCCCGCCCCGAATCTCTCTGGGTACTGTTCTTTACCCTGGTGACCGTTGCTCTCTTTCTTAGACACTTTAGGGTCACTTTATATCTTCCTGGTTTCTGAAGTTAATGGCGCGGGAGCTGAAAATGCGTACCCTTGGCCTGCTGGGAACATCTGCCGTCAAACCTCCACTCTTCTGATGGAGATTTGGAGATGGCTAGCACTAAGAGGAAAGGGACTCCGGGGAGAAGACACCTTTCCCAGACCCTGCCTTGCGGGGACTGACACCCACACCTGTCCGCTCCCACCATCTGCCTGAGACCCTGGCAGGAAGTCGCTCATAGAGTTCTTTTGGTTTCAGGTCACCTAGCTCTCCTCTGCCTCAGACAGACAGGTCACCCCTCAACTTCAGCAGCGCCTGATCAGGGTGTAGATGCCCTGACTCCTGGTTCACTGCACTCCTTAAACGCCACACAGTTCATTGTGGCCTAGAAAAAGCTGCTCTTGGCCCGTGGAGAGCAACTCACTCTCTGCCTCCAGTGGCCTGGCCTCCAGAAGATTGGGCCAGCATCCAGAAACTGATGAGGAGGGGTGGTGCTGGGGAGGGCAGAGAGAGGGGCATACACCTTCCTGTGAGGGAGGTCCCTAGTTTCTGCAGCTGAGAACTGAGGAAGAATGCTCTGGTGGCTGAGGCAGGAGACAGGCCAAGGGAGGCAAAGGCCTCAATGGATAGAGGGTGCCCTGTGAAAGATACTACGGTGGCAGAGGGTAGGGACTGTGGCCTAGCTGGCCCTTAGCCATGTGCTCCAGGGATTGTTCCTAGCCTTTCTAAGCTGGGGAAAGCCTAGCTAGTATTTCCCAAGGAGGTTGTTGAGTCATACACAGCCCCATGTTGCCAGGTCAGTCTTGGGAGAAAACACCTTTGCCATACCTGGCCCAGACCCTGCCTTGAGGGGACTGCCACATACACCTGTCCCCTCTTACTACCTGACTTAGACCCTGGCAGGAAGTAGCTCAGATAGTTCTGTTGACTTCAGGTCACTTGGTTGTCCTCTACCTCACACAGACGGGTCACCAGGTCACCCTGCTTGGCTGAGGGCCTGGTGATTTAACTGGGCCCTGAAACTCCCCCAGGAAGCATGAATACAACCCCATCTCTCATCCTCCTTGTTCAACAGCACCAGTGACACCCAGGGCTTCACTGGGGTTCATCTGAGATGTGGCTGCAACACTGATCAGAGTACCAACAAGCTGCAATGGGCCTGGTGGTCAGGACATTTGCTGCCAAGAGCCAAGAAAACATGGAGGCAATGTGGACTGCATCGGCTGGCGAGAGGTCACGCTTCTACCAAGTGTAAAGCCTTGGTAGAGGTCTCCTAGTTGTGAGCCCTGGGAGGCCTTGCTAAAGCAGGTGGAATCTAAGCTGGCCCTGGAGGGTGGATAGGAACTCCATCCAGGCTCAGAACATCAAGAGATCATGACACAGGACCAGGTTGACTGGACTTTTAGGGCCTGGAGTTGAGTTGGGGACCTTCAAGAGAAGAACATTGAGTGGTATTAGCAGGGCGCTAGAGAAGTTACAAAGCAAGGTGGCCTAAGATTAGCGTAACAGAAACAAATCACTGAGGACTACAATGACAGGAACCAGGGGTGGGAGCATTAATTTACTTCCTATTGCTTATGTGGCTTACAATTGCCAATGATAGTCCATTGTTAAAGGAAGTAGGGGCAGGGAGCAGGCAGATCAGGAAACCACTTACTGTCTTGCTTGGCACTTTCTTTATAAAATCTAGATCCACCTTCCAAGGGAATGACACCACCCACAGAGGACTGAGCCCTCCTACATCCAATAACAATGAAGAGAATGCCCCTCAGGCCAATGTGATGGCCGCAAGTTCTCAGATGATGCTCCCTCTTCCTAGGTGACTGGTTTGTGTCACCTTGACAGAAACAAACTAAAACAGGCGGTATAAGAACAGCTGCCCAGAGACAAATGAGGAGATGGCCGCCTGCCACCAGCAGAGGACAGAGACCTGTAAACGATCTTGGATGGATACATCCAAGCGAAGGGTGCCTGGGGATAGTCCGGAAGCAGGATGAAGGAATAAATGTGTGTATGGTAGGTCTGGGGACTGGATGGGCACCTGAGAGCAAAGGCTGAGGTTGGGGCCCACATTCTGGCTCCAGGGTTTGAACTACTGGGCGTCCTCTTATTCTGGAGAGGTCTAGTTTGGGACTCAAGAGAGAGATCAAGGCTGCTGACAAAGTGGCAATGGGAAGATGGGTGGCCTGAGAGCTGCTGAAGAGAGGGAGCCTCGCTGGGTGTGTGGAGTGCACCTTCCTCATGCTAATGTATGTATTTCCTACAGTCTTTGTCTCAGAGAACCTCTGGCTTCTAGACAACTACACAAGGCTCGGCTCTGACTTTCCCTCAACACTCTCTCCCAGACCCTCCACCGGGTAGTGGCAATCCTCTCAGGGAGTTTACAGCTTAATAACCTACCATACTACAGGCGCCCTGAGGGGTTGAGGCCAGGAGACCCTTGCCATCCCACTGCACCCACTGACCCCACTTGCCAGACCCTCCTAATCTTTTTTTCTTTTTTTTTTGAGACAGGATTTCTCTGTATAACATTTCTGGTTGTCCTGGAACTCTCTCTGTAGACCAGGCTGGCCTCGAACTTGCAGAGACTCCCCCTGCCTCTGCCTCCTCAGTGCTGGGATTAAAGGCGGGCGCCACCACAGACCAAGAGACCCTTCTAGCCTAGCCACTCCTCTCTGCTACCTCCATCAACAC